GGTGTTGATGCAGGAGAAGAAAACAAATGTGTGTCTTTTTTTTTTAAATTCTTTTTGGTGTTTCTCTGTTGCTTTTCCCTCCCTCAGCCCTGCGGACAGCAGGATTTCGTAATGGCAGCTTGGGAAACAGGCCCAACGCTCCGTTTAGAAGCAACGTGTATCAGCCGACCGAGATGGCCGTCGTGCTCAACGGCGGGACCGTAAGTATCCAGAGGTGATGTTCTGGCGGGAAGCCAAAGAGTGGTCGGTGAGGGGGGGACCCACAGACAGCGGCTCGCGTCGACACCCCTGCAGCTGCATGCATGCGAGGCTTCCGGCCCCTTGCTCCAGGCGCAGATCCGCCCGTGCCTAGTGCACCACCTGTAGATTCGTTTGCAAGAGCCCCTGTCTCTTGTGGCTCCTCCACCCAGAGAATTCTCTGCTTTCATGGCACAGAAGCCACCTCCACTCTCTCCCTGGGAGGTGACTTTTAGGAAAAGGCCAGAATTAGGAAGCCCTGGCGGAGTTTGCCGACATCCAGCCTAGTTTAGGCCCCCTTCAGCCTCTCCCATCTCTGTCCCAGACAGATATCGGGTACCCCTCCCCTACTCCTTAACTTAAGAAGTGGAGGCGATGATCATTTCTCTGCCTCGAACTCAAAAGCAGGTTTACTATCTGATGCCAAACAGACCTTCAGCAGAATCGTCACTGTTTATGTTTGCCTGCGTGGAATGACATCATTTGATTTCTCCAGCGGTCCAGACACACTCTCATTCCCACGTTTAATTTTCCAAACATAGCTCTGTGCTTCTTCCAGAAACCACGCATGAGCCGGCTTGCGTGTGACCCTCGGGTTCCCATCTTTTCTCTCATGTGCAGTTAGTTCCCTAACTCGACCTGGGCTGCTTTTGTTTCTGATGTTAAGTCAGGGATGGTCTTGGCTCTCGGAGGGAACTCTGGTTCTTCTGGCCTTGGTGAATGGCCTGCCGGCCATTGGTCTGCACGGGTTTGGGACGGTCTCAAAGACAAAAGGACTCACAGATTTGCATTCTCAAGACCCCCTGCCATCCGCGGGACCGTTCGATTGTTGGGTGCCAAGAAAAGCCTGACTCAGGGGCAATCAGCGCCTGTGTGTTACAGTACACACGGTTAGCAGGAAGCCCTATCTCTTAAGCCCCTCTGGTCCCTTCAAGGCATGAAAGCCCCTGGACTTAGAAAGTGTAGGTTTCTGGGTAAGGAAACACCTGTGTCTGGGGTGCATGGTTACAGAAAAGGGGAGCCGGCCCTCCCGAGGACGGAGCAGCGTGACACACCGTGGCTGCTGCTTTTCCTGGGAACCCTTCGGCCCATGTAGAAAAAGCCAGGGAGCTGGTCTTCAGCGCGCTGTTAACACGTTGGTGTCTGACGCGGACTTTGCAAAGCACCGAGTTCTCAGTGTGTTATCCTTGTTTCTAGATCCCAACTGCTCCGCCAAGTTACACTGGAAGACACCTCTGGTGAAAGACTTAAGTTCCAGAGAGTAAGACTCTGACCGATTTTAGTCCCTGGCTGTGTCTTTCTTGAGGGGGAAAGCACTAACCGCAGCCTAACGAGGCCGCCTCACAGCCGGGAGGTCTGGAGATCCCAGACGAGGCGGTTTCGTGTAAATGTGAACACTGCTGAACAGAAAAGCTAACACCGACTGCCCTCCCCTCCCCCTCGCCACACACGCACACACACACACACGTGCGCACACACACACGCACATACCAAACCAACCTCAATCCCTGCAAACTAAAGCAAAGCTAATTGCAAATAGTATTAGGCTCACTCGAAAAGGTAGCGGGGAAGCCTGAGTCACCCCTGAGGGTAGAACGGAAGCCAGTGCACAGCCGATGGGCCAGGCTGGTGGGTGTTAGTGGCACAGGGCGGTCCCCCACAGCATCGCCCCGGGGGGGCCTCCTGGAGGTGCCCATTTCATTGAGGAGGGCCAGTGGGGACCTGCACATGGTGGGGTGGGGGGGAGTCAGGAGCAGTTTCAGGAGGTTGTGGGTGCGAATCCAAGGAGAGGCCCAGTCGAATCCTGGGGTGAGCTCTCCAACCAGTAGTGGTTGGAGGGATGCTGACATGTGCCAAAAACGGGGTGCTGTCTGCAAGTCGAAGTGACCGTCACGTTTAGAAAGCGGTGGCCTTCTGTGGGCCTCTTGCTCTGGCATCGGTGGCAGGAATGTAAGCCAGCCTCCCGCCCTGGTGTTGCCATAGCAACCCTGTGGCTCGGGGCAGCTCCCCTCCCGTGATCCTCTCTCCTGCTCCCCGCACTCAGCAGCGCCCCCTCCAACGCCCTCTCCCAATCCGAGCCCCACGTTCATTTCGAAAGCTCCAGTGGGGCCGACCCCCTGGGCTGGCAGGCCAGAAGGAGGCACCCCAGACGGTCTTCTGAGATGATGTCACGTGGCATGGCGTCCCGGGGTGCCCTCTGAGATGGAGCGGTGGCCCCCCGATGTAGTGAGAGCCCCAGGGTGGGGGGGGTGGGGGGGAGCACCCACGTTTCCCCTGCTGCTTCCACAGGGTTGGGGGACATTTTTGACTTGGTTTTCTGCAAGTTCCATGGAAACGGTCCTCTTCAAAGCCCATTGTTTTTCTGTCATGGTTTCCATCTGTCCTCAGCAAGTCATTCCTTGGTTCTGTGGCATGTCGAACATCTCGGCCATCCCCAGCCCCATGTTCTCTGCGCTGTTTGGCCAGCATAACCGCTAGCGACGACTCAAAGCCAAGGGTCTTAACCTGGCGGCCCGGAGCGCGCACACGAGGGTGGGGCCTTCTGCACACACTCTAATCACTGCATCGCTTGTGTCTATTAAAACAACCCATAAGCCTTTAACCTTTCAATAAAATGAAAAAGGTTAGTTTTTTTTGAGGGGGGGAACTGACCTCTTCATAAGCCGATATGTCTGAGCTGAGTATGTTTTAATAAACCTTCTGATTTTTCTCGAGGCCCTAGTCTCTGCTGTGTCCTGTCCTCACCCACCCACCCACCCCTGCCCCTGCAGAGCGCTGGGGTAACCAAGGCCGATCCGGCCAGCCCTGCGTGGCCCTCTTTCGGGGTTTTGTCCTGCTAGTGCATTTCCTGTCACCGCGCTTGGGGGAGGGGGAGCATGGCACCGGGCAGCCGCCCGCCCCTGCCCAGAGCATGTGCTTGCTTCTAGAGAGTCAGATTCCAGCCCGCTGTGCGGGGAGCATCCTCGGGTGGCTTGGAAACTCTGCGGACTGGGGAGGGGGCGGAGGGAAGGAGGCGAGCCCCCGGGGTGGGGGCGAGGGGCGGGCGGGTGCGTGCAGACCCCGAATTCTCAAACCGCAGAAGTCGGCGAACACCTGGGCCCAGGCCGGTGAAAACCGACTGCCTTACACGTTATTGTGCCAGGACGTGGTCGCCCAACCCTGCTCCCTGGGGTCCTTCGGCGCCCCCTGACCCCGCCTGTGTGACGCGGTCTGCGAGAGCCCCCCTTGCAGGAGGGAGCAGTTCACACGACTGTTTTCTAAGCGCTCGGTGGTCCAGGCGTGTCAGGTGAGCCCGGCATAGACGGCTACGAGTGGAAAGTCACGTCTCGCCACCGTGGAAACGGCACCGGCTTCGAGCCACGGGGAACCCACCTGAGACCTTGTTATCCCGCCTTTCCTTTCACGTCTCTGAAACGTCATTGTGTTCGCGTTCTGTTTCCTTTTGGCTTTAAGATCACGAGAGTGGGCTGAATGCCCTCCCGATGGGGGGCGCGGGCGGGGAGGCCAGGGGGAGAGAACTTATTTTTCTAATGACTTTACCCGAAGGGTACAAAGAGACGTCTTTGCCAGGAGCCTGGCGGCCAGCTGCCCCCAGGAGCAAAGTTTAAATATAAAATTAACGGCGCCTCTGTTTAAAGATCTGTTTATGTGACTGAGACTTGTTAGAGAAAATGGCCTAGAAGGAGACATCTGTGATCCAAATGCCTCACTGTAAGCACAAATCGTTCCATGTCCGGTTACTAAAATCGCCTTGGGACTATAACAGCCACTCTCGTCCCCCCTTTTAATGGAACATGGTCATTCTATGCGGGATTTCTCCCCTGAGGACAGAGGGTGGGAGTGAGGGGGCCAGCTCAGAGAACTCACAGACAGGCTGGGAAGTGCTTGGTGCCTCCAGGGTTTCCGGTTCTGGTGTGGAAAGCTGGGGATCCCGGTCAGGGTGCACGGAACAAGCGTGGACGGGGGTGGCCTGCCAGGCTGGCCAATGCTGCGTTGAATCCCAAACGGAAAGGGCGCATTGTGGCTTTTATAATCCAGTGAAGCACCGATAATACCAGCTTACAGGAGTTCTCAGCAGGTGCTTTTTATTAATTGATTAAAGAGCTAAGGCTCGTTTTTGATAGATGATATATATTTATTAAATGTATTAATGTGTGTTTTATAATGTACCTTTATCTTCCCCTGGCTGACTGTTGCATACTTAGAAGAAAAAAAAATAACGTTACAAGAAATTTCGAGACAATCATTGTGTACCAGAAATGACTGTGTATAAATATTACATATTGAAAAGGTTGTAAAGCATGGGCAGATAGGTTTTATTTTCAAAATGCTGTTCATAACACAAAAATAAAGGCTTTACTATTGACTGAAGACTCGTGGTAGCTCGTCCAACCAATAGGAACGCCAGGCTTGCGGATCCGCCTGGAGGTTAAGCTTGTGGCTCTTTGAATGGGAGAATCTTGCTTAATGGCAACCCCCAGAACAAGGAGGGTAGTCGGCCAGCCTACCCAGAAAACGAAGAACTTGCTATGATACTTTGGGGCCTAGACAACAGAACTCCTCTGTTGTCGTCTGGGTGTAAATGTCTCATCTGGCCGGGTGAGCTGGGAAAGATAAGGGCCAGCCTCCTTCGGAAGTGATCTCAGGCAGTAAGGTCCTAATGGAGAGAGAGCACTCACCAGATAAGCTTCAAACTCACTGCAGAGTTTGGGGGACGGAAATTTCAATATGGCTCTTCGCAAAGGTGGCCCAAAGTGGGAAACTGGTAGCCGGGACGTGTTAACCTCTCTTGTCCATTTTTTCAATGGCGGTTGGCGAGAAGAATGCTCCTGAGGTGCTGGCGAAAGCGGTGGCCGAAGCCCCGAATCTGGGTATCCTAAAGCATGTTTGCAACAAATCTGATCTTCTTATGTGGAGAAGCTTCTGGGTTCAGATGTAGCAAACCTAGTCTTCGATAAAAAAGCAGCAGAGGAAGCGTCATTTGGACATCTGTCCTGAATCTCGGAAAGGCACCGACAGTGGTTAGAGTGCGGGAGCCTTAGCCACAGCCGCGGCCTCCTCGTCTTCCATTCTGCATTTCACTGCAAAGGAAGGAAAAGAGGCAGTCAGGATTGAGTTGCACAGCGAGACAGACTCGTCCTCACACACTCTGAAGTGTGGAGAGGCTGGCTGTACCCAGACCCACCGAGCCGCTACAGGTTTGGCCCCACGGACCCGCCGGGAAGAACACGGGGCCTTTGTGCTCCGAGGACAGCAACTGAAGTTCCCAAACCACCTCCTGTAGCGGTCAAGGCCGTTCTCCGTTCAGAGGGAGGTAAGACTGTGCTTTGCAGGTCAGGGCACTGAAGGAAGGAAGATCTGCTGAAGATGATGACAGATTCCAGGCTCTCGACTCAGTGTGGTCTGTCACCGCTCACCCTGTTCCCCCCACACACGCAAAATGAAAAGCTCCGGAGAACACTGGGGTCAGTACCGGGTCAGAAGAGAATCTTCTAGTCTTTCACGGTCTGGACCAGAATGAGATCTGGGTGATTTCCTGAGTCAGCCAAACAGGAAAGTGAGCTGAACACAGATCATGGCCCTGTCCGTAAGGGAAACTGTCCCAATAGCCAAAAGCTCCCTCAAAATACGGAAACCCTGCGACTGGGTTGGGGGGAGGGGTCCTTTTGGAAAGAGCCCCTTGTTGCTGTTGTTGTTTTTAAATATCTTTGCTTCCAGTGTCCAAGTGCCTGCTGGGATGTTAATGCCTGAAGGGTTATCGCGAGCAAGGTCACAGCTCTGGGTATTTGTGGACAGCAATGTTCCCAGCAGGAAGGATGCTGCAGGCTGGTACCCAGCGGGGCAGAGGTTTCGGCAGAGCCTGGGCCTGGTCCTGACCTCCCAGTGACAGGGTACGCACTGGCCAGACCCGAGCACGGTCACGGTGAGGTGTGGGGACCGGCACACACAGTACAGTCGCTTCCCAACGTGAGTGGGCTGACGGCTTCCCGCAGCACAGGCTCGCCCAGCAATTTCAAACTCGGGCTATAGAAACACTGCCCACGGGCTCCTGGACGTGGTTCATTCAAATAGAAGTCAATTTCCGAATCTTCAGCGGCCATGCGTGGGCTGTTTAGTTATGGGGTTTCTATCGGTCCCCCTTTTCTACCTCTCCCCATCCTGGCATTGCCTAGTGTGTAAAAATCCCCAGGTGCCAAATAAAGAGGCAATCCGAAATGCTGGCACCCCCCGAGTCTCCTCTGTTCAATAACTATCAAAATTTACGATGCAGTATTTATTTGGCTTTGTGAAGTACTAGTAATCATATTAATAACTCAACCCAGAAAAGTATTTTTAACACTTGGAGCCCGTGGTCATGGGAAATTAAAAAAAAAAAAGCTTTTTAAGGTGTGTACCTTTTTTGTTCCATAAACATGGGAGCTATACGGGCGATCACGGTGAAGCCCTAGAGATGGTGACAGTGAGTGATCTGTCATCGCGGAAGGCATGCCACATTGGTGGGTGCTCTCCCGACACCCTGCTGACCCATGCTGCCGTCCAGGATGTGGGTATTCGGCAACTGACTGGGGGCGGCGGGGTCCTCACTGGTAGCATTTGCCAATTCCATGGCCAATTTCGAGCTCCCAGCCCGACAACATAAGCGAGCATAATACAGGGCTGGAAAGATGCGCACACACCCAGATCACGAGCAGCTCGGCCCACAGCTGCGCCGGCTCCTGGGACAGCGCGCAGGGAGACCTCAGGCGCAAGGTGGCTTTCCAGGTGTGGCGGGGGCTCCACCAACATTTACATCACTGGGAACCTGTTAGAAATGCGAGTCCGGAGGCCAGATCCCAGACCTACAGAACCAGAAGCTGCGAGTGGAGCCCACGTGTGTGTGCGCCAGTTACGGATTGAGACCCCCTGACTGCAGGTTCTCCACCGTGGCTGCATTGACGGATCACCTGGGCAGCTTCTGAAGCAGTTAGTGTCTCGGCCCAGACATTCGGCTGTAATGGGTCTGGGCATCAGCATATTCAAAGTGCCCAGGTGTTGCTAACTTCAGCCAGGGCTGAGAAACACAAACGTGGTTAGTGTCCCTTTAAAGAAACAGGACTGGAAAGACCCTCAGATCAATTCAGAGGAGTATGAGTGTCTCGACATTTAAGCCATTAGAATGACATCCTCTCTGACCTAGTGCTGGCAGACAGACAGACAGAGACGCCGGGGCCTGCCGGCGTGGAGGAAGGAAAGACCGGCTTCCAGGAGGATTCCCAGCCTTTGGGTGTTCTAGTCACCGGCCCCTGCCTGAAGGAAGAACTCACCTGCATGCCTTTGTCCCAGTAAGTTAACCAGTTCCTGTCCACCCCTCGAGAGGCTCTCTTATCCAGCCCCTACCTACACTTTGCCCTCACCTGGGAAAAAAGCCCTTATTATCTATTCCTTTCAGATCATGGCACAGAAATCTTTAGGGAGGAGAATGGAAAGGCTACTAGGGATACTCCTTCAGACCAGAGAGTCAAGATGCTACCTAGACTTGATGGACTGGAAGTAACAGTGGATGTGGAGCCTCCGGATGGAATCCCCTGGGGGCTCTGGATGCGCCCGGTGCCAGTGCCCAGCCCCATCCTAGCCCATCAAGCCAGACTCTGGGGGCGGGAACTGTCCGCACAAGCGCACTGCGTTACCGGGGGACCCTGAGGGTGCACGCCCCCTGCAAGGCAGGGATTCCACTCCTGTGTCTGCGCCCTGTTTAATAACTATCAAAATTTAACCATCAAACCCTTGCACGCGTGTACTGGGAGACGTGCATCGGGATGTTTGTGACAGCAGAAAATGGGAAACACGCCAAATGTCCATCAACAGCTGGCCGGATAAATAAAGCACGGTCTGCTTGAACAGCGAGTCCACGGCAGCCAACACGGATGAACCACAGCCCCGCACGTCAACTTAGATCAGCTTACCGAGGCTGAAGGGAAGGTGCGCAGCGCAGGCCGATACCTACTGTGTGACTCTATTTATAGCAAATCTAAGCGTTGAGGGATACGTCCAAAGGGACAAAAAAAAAAAAAGAACAATTATCACAAAAGTTAGGATAAGTGGCTTCATGGGGGAGCGGGAGCTTTCGAAGCGTCGACGGCACTCCATGTCCTTAATGGAGATGGTGGTGGCCTGAGTGTCTGCCTCGTAGTTCTGTGCGTTTTATAGTCACTACTGTATGTATGTGTTTTATAGTCACTACTGTATGTATGTGTCACCTCACGCGCACGCGCACACGCAACAAGGTTAGGGAAAAAGCTAGTAGTATGGTCGTATAGCACGTGAAATTACCAAGTCAACCAATAAAGGGACAGAAAAGAGCAGTTTAGCCGCTTTGGGAGGGTGGGGAGGGGCGGCAAATGAGCGAATCCCCCTGTGTCCCGGCTGGAAACCAGCAGATGATGTCTCGCTTCTCAGCTATCTGTTCGAGATACAGAAGTGACCACCCAGAGGAGCCGCTGAGTTCAAAGCGATGGGGGCGGGAGGGGGTGACGCAAACATGACAGAGCTCATTCCGTCCTTCGGTTTTATCTATAACCTACGCGTCTGTGACCGTGGGAAGCAGGCGCGAGGGTGACTTTGTTAGAAATGAAGACGCAGACGAAGTCTCCTCAGCGCTTTTGCTCCTTGGCAGAACGGAGCCCTGCACAGTCGAACGGCAGCCCCGCGCTCTTTCCCATTGGCGAACGCTGCCCAGTCGAACGTTAGGGAGCAGCAGGCAGGAAGGACTGAGGGAACGGGGTTCGCGCCCTCGCTCAGGGACAGCATCGTGGTTGGCTTCCAACACCGTCAGGCAGATGCCTCCGGCCCCTGTGCTGTCCTCGTCCCCTTGGCAGGCCAGCTGGCAGCCAGTTCCGGAAGAGCCGAGGGAGTGGAAAATCCCGGGGAGATGCGCCAGCCCTTCAGCTTCGATGAAAGGCGATGTGACAAGAAAGGCCTCGCATGCTAACGAGACTCGCTGCGTCCCCTCCGCGCCCCCCTCGGCCTCTCCTGCTCCGGTCAGCGACGGAGCGGGGACTCCGGGGTCAGCGGGGCTGCCGGAGCCTCGACACGGGGGAGGAAACTCAGGGACAACCGGGTCGTCCAGCCATTCTTCCGCTGTCGCTCGGCATAAAAAAAAAAATCACCTGGCACAAAAATGCGGCTTCCTGGGCCTCCGCCCCTGACCTCTAGAATCCGAATCTCCAGGAGTGAGGCCTGGGGGTCGGCATCCCACACCCCCGACCTCAACCCCTCTGAGCTCTGCCTGGTCGTTTGAGGTGGCAAGTGTGAGAAAGGGATCTGTATCATTCCGCCATCACGCGTGTCTGTTTCCCGAGGCGGGGGTCTGACAATGGCCCTGACTCCTCAGGTCGCTGGGACGGGCCAACGAGATGAGGCTTGCAAAGCGCTCGGCACCCAGCATGACCCAGAGCTAAGCACTCAATAAAGATTAGCAATTATTATTTTTAGGGCAAAGTCTTTGACCTCAGGGAACTCACACCCTAGAGGCGGAAAGATAAATGGCACTGTAAGAACCAAGAGACGCTCAGGCACCGCAGAGAGAGATCGCTGCCATGTTCATCCATCACACAGCTGCGGGCCCCAAACAGCGCTGGGTCCTGAGCTACAAAGACGAGACCGGTTCACACTCTCAAGGCAGCAATTTATATATAAGGAGCCTTAAAATGTTAATTTTTAAAAATCCAATTAGCACCCAGTTACTCTGCTTCTAGGGAAATAAGAGCAAACGCTTTCGGGGTGCTCACCGAGCCCTTTACATATAGGAAGTGACAGGGAGGCAGGCGATGTCTGTCATTCCCCCTGGTCTTACAGACGAGGAGACCGAGGCACAGACAGGCTGTGCGACTCGCCCGAGGTCCCCGTGGGCTGTCCGGCTCCGCATTCACGCTTTCAACCTCACCAGGGTCAAGGTCTCACAGCTCTCCCGCACCTGGCAGATGGAGATCTGTACGGTGGAAAGGCACGCGACGCTGCGTGCAGACAGAGGTGGGCCGTTTATCACGTACACAGCCTGGGGACCGTCTACATGCCCCCAACCAGGGAATGATTAGGTATCTGA